TGTGTATGTTCTTCAGAGAAATATCTATTCAGATGCTTTGCTTGTTTTAAAATTAGGTTGTCTTTTTGCTTGAGTTTTAGGGTTCTTTATACAATCTATGTAAGTCCCTTATTAGATGTATGATTTGCCAACATAGTCTCCATTAATTTCTCTGATGAAATCTTTTCAAATAAAAAATAAAATAAAGTTATGTTTTTCATCTGTGCTTTTGGTGTCATATCTAAGAAGGCTGTATCTAACCAAAGGTCACAAAGACTCATATTTTCTTCTCTGGGTTTCATAGTGGTAGCTCAGCTTTTATTAATGGGGTTAGGTGTAGCATTGCCACGTACGCTTATAGCTTGCACTGATTAATTCCAGCCTCGCTCTATCCCCAAAAGCTTCTCAACTTCTGTCTTTAAATCTGTGATCTTCTTGTCTCATTGTCTTGGGGAGCTGGTGTTACAGGTGTCCACCACTGTGCCCAGCTGGTCAACTTTATTTATGTAGCTCAGTTTTGAGTTGCTTTGGCAAATGGTATGAGGAAGAGTTGAACTTCTTTCATTTGGATGCAGGTATTCATTGTGGCAGAACCATTTGTTGAAAAGACTACTCTTTTCCCATTGAACTGGCACAGCACCTTTACCAACATCAGTCAGCCATAGATGTGTAGTTTATTTCTGGACTTCCTATTGTAGTTCACTCATCTTTACATCTCTCCTTATGCCATTGTCATGCTGTCTTGATTATTCTGTTTAATAAGTTTTGAAACTAGGATTGGTGGGCTCTTTAGCTTCATTGTTCCTTTTTAATATGTTTTGTGTTTCTGGGTCCCTTATAATTCTACATGAATTTGAGGATTAGTTCATCAGCTTGTGCAAAAAAAAAAGCCATCTGAGGTTTTGACAGTAATTATGTTGCTAAAAAGGAGTATAATTATCTTAATAATAAATCTTCACATCCTTGAGTATGGAGTGCCTTTTTATGGGTAGCTGTTTCAAAAATATTTCATAGTTTTCAGAGTGTAAGTTTTACATATATTTCATTAAGTTTATTCACAAATATTTTAGTCCTTTTTCCCTAAGTCTATGTAAATGAATTTATTAATTTAATAGGCATTGCTTTGTAGACCACCGTGATACATACCCGTGCCATTCATTCAATGAATGGTGATTATATATGTACTGTAACCAGGTACTCTGCCAACCTTTGAAATACAATAGGCATCAAAAGCAGGCCCAGTAACTCCCTATCTGAATGTACAAAACAAGGGCAGTACAAATAATAAGTCAACCCTGTTATAATGATTAACAAATCAAGAAGCACTCTGAAGAAAACTATGGAACTGGGGACCCAGTCTAAACTTGAGAATCTGGGAAGAATTTTCTGGGACAATGATCTGTGAATGGAGGTCAGTGGAGATGGGTAGCTGAAAGCAAAAGATCTGTCTCTGTATCTGTTTGGCAGAAGGAGATAAGGTAGAGGCCAATATTCAAAACAGAAGAACTAGCATAAGAGAAGAGCCAGAACTGGAAGCTTTCCTAGTGAGGGTGACATGAAGTGAGGTCCGTGTGGGTGTAGTGTGTGTGTTGGGTGGCATCCAGGGCTGGGAAGGCACTTGGGTCATGTGGGTGAAATTCAAGAAGGTACAGATTTAAGAGCTCAGATAGAGAATCCCAGATGTCACTTACAATTGTAACTTTGAGCAATTACCAACCTGTTCTGTGCCTCAAATTCCCTACTTATAGCATGCAAGCGATATTAGCATGTAGCAGTAGGTTGTTCTGAGGAATAACTGCATTAATATACGCAAAGCACATAGAGTGAATCTTGGGAAGCAGTGAGGGGCCAGCAGGTATCTGTTAGTACAGGCAATGTTAATTGCAAGTAAAAGGTTTTAGCAGAGAAGTACTGATCTTGTCACAGCAACTTTCAAGCAATGGCTGGGTGTGAAGAGTGCCAGTTAACAGTGTGTGTGTGTGTGTGTGTGTGTGTGTGTGTGTGTGTGTGCTGTTCACCTTACACAAGGAAGATTTTGAATGTGTCACAAGTACACACTTCTGTGGGATTGATGGGCCCTTTCGCACCATTCTGATACATCATTTACCAGAAGAGCCTCAGATAGACTGTTTGGCAGTCTTGCCCTAAGTGTGGAGAAAAATCAAAGCTCGTTTTCTTAAAAACATTCTGATATCTAGCCTGACTTTATAACCACTTCAGATTAATGTAGGTGTCATTTACCAACACATAACCTTTCTGTTTAATTAGTTAAGTTTATTGGTAATTTTAATTATTTTTTTTGTGACACCTGGGATTGAACTCAGGACCCTGTGCTTACCAGACAAGCGCTTATTCTACTGAGCTATCTCCCAACCCATTAATTTTAGATGTACATAATGAACACATTCACCACTGGGAATTTGTACCTGTACATGCTATATATTCATTCTTCTACATTTTCCCATACCCTTCTCCTGAGAACTCCTTTTCCCCTCCTGATTTGCAAAAGCTTTGTTTCCATTTTCTCCTCCTTCTTTCACCTGCTTTTTCCCTTTCTACCTTTCTTCCTCCTCCTCCCTAATTCTCTTTTCCACTTTAATACTTTCTTCCTAGTCACTATATATATATATATATATATATATATATATTATATTTTAGTTCTTATTTACACTTCCAGTTTCCCACATCAGAAAAACAGTACATCATTTACACACATCCAATTTATTTCCCTCAAGAGTATGATCTCAAGGTGCATCCACTGAAACAGAAATGCCTCTAACTTATCACTCCTTAGGGTTTTTTCTTTTTCTTTTTTTATACTGGCAATTGAACTCAGGACCTTGTGCTTGTTGGGCAGGCGCTATGCCCCTGAACTATATCCCTGGCCCAAACTTGTCATTCTTTATGGATGAGTAGTATTCCATTGTAGAAAAAAATCAACAATCGTTATCCATTCATCGGTTGATGGGTATTTTGGCTATTTCCAAGATTTAGCTGTGACAAACTGTGTTGCTATCAAATAGATCTCCAGTTTCAGGTTCGTGAGGAATTTCTATGCTGATTTTCATACTTGCTAAGCCAGTTTAAGTTCTTACCAGTAGTGAAGAAAGATCCCTTTTTTCCTCCCCAGCCCTGGCGGTATTTATTATTGGTTGTATTTTGACAATATCTATTCTTTCTGGAGTAATATGAAAAAGCAGTGTTGTTTTAATAAGCATCTCTTGCGTTGGGAGCTGCTGAAGCTGGAAATTGATCAGACGTGGTTGGGCAGGATGAGGCCTCATTGCCTAAAGCAGCCAAACTACCTCAGTCTTGAGAAAAACATTCTGCCTGGACATTGTTGGCTGTTAGTCGCTAGGCAACCTTGTGTCTTGTAACTTTGCAAAGGTCCAAATAAACACCGCTACTGTTGTTCTGGGATCCTCTGGCAATCAGGCGTAGTCCACTGCCTGACCTCAGCTATTAACTCTCATCTTTTTTTTTTAGAACAACTCAGCAAAATAAAATCCTGGTTTATCGTTGGACAACATTGTTTCACACATACATCAAACAGGCCAAAAATAAAAAAATAAAAATAAACAGCAACTTCATAGACAAAAAAAAGGGAAAAAGAAAACCTTTTATCTTTGGCCTTTTTAACTGTCTCGTACAAATCAACTATTTAAAGTACAGCAAGTACATACACAAAAAAAGTTACTGGATTGCTCGGAATAAGATTTGTTTTGTTGTTGTTGTTTTTGCTTTTTTTGCAAGTTTTTTTTTTTTTTTTCTCCTTTGAGATTATAATGAACATGGTCACACCACAAGTAGAGTCGGAAGTAGGCCAGAGGATGCTCCAGAAGGCTGGTTTGGTCATCTGCAGATCATCAAAACTGGCTGACCCCTAACAGTAGGTATAAAAATATAAAATGTAAATAAAAAATACAAACAAATTTTCATTTTTAAAGTACTTTTAAGAAAAAAAGCAGGGCCTTGGAAGTTTTGGTTCTCTTTCCTCCCTGTTGCAAATATGCGTGTGGTTTCGGTGGGGCGGTGGTGGAGAGCGGTGTATGCTGGTGGCGCTGCCGCGGCGGGCAGACACCTCTCTACTCGAAGGTGAGCACGTTTAGATTCTGAGATGGGAGTGCCGGGTGAATAGGTCGTGGTGGCAATTTTAGTTAACTTCTCCTTTTTTTGCTGTCTAGTCATCCTCGTCAGTCTTCAGCTTCTTAGTATCCATGTCGTCTTCATAGTCATCCTCAGCTGCCCGCTTGCCTGTACCTGCCTCTGCCTCCTCCTGGTCTCCATCCTCTTCCTCATCACCACTTTCTTCCCCTCCCCTCCCCTTCCCCTCCCTCTCCCTGCCCT